CCCACACAGCCCGGTCCTGCGCGAAGCAGGAAGACAAACCCGCACAGACACCTCGACTGCAGACTGGGGAGGTCTGTAAGAGACGATAAAACATGTCACAGTAATCCACGTGGCGAGTCAGCAATGTCCACTGCCCCGAATCACGAAAACGTACCAGCCGTCCATATATCAAAAGTATATGAAGTATGCTTCTGTTTAAACATGGATGAAGAGAGGGCACCGAGCACAGGCGACCCCCAGCCTTGCCCCCTGATGAGCTGATTTCCAGTTCGCCCGGGCTCTGCTGACAGCCACCGAGACAAAGCAAGGGTTCAGCAGCAAAATGCCACGATTAGCGAGCTCTCAGGCCCAACGGCATCGCCACTTTGCCCACAACCAGCACACAACTGCGTGCCCATCCCGAGACCCACTTCCGCACGGCTGTCCCGGCCGCCAGGACACGTTTACAAACAACGGCAGGGACTCGGCCAGCTGCTCGCCAAGTTCCGCTGCGGGAAACTAAAGTTTCTCCGGCTCACTGCAGCCGAGGCTCCGCGCACGACAATAAACTTTCTCTGTATGGGGAAACGCGCTTCTCTTTCCCAGCTTTCACCTCAGTTTTTGCCATTTGTCTCCGCTTTTTTTTTTGTCCGTGTAAACAATTCCGGCGAACACGTCTAGGGGAAACTCGGGGCACGAGAGCTCCGCTGCCCGCTCCGGCTCGCGTGTTGGTCCCCGTCACGAGCTCGGCTCACTTACCCAGAACAAAGACCGCAGACCCGAGACGCGAGTCGCGAGACCCGGGCTCCCGGGCTCCTGCGAGACAACTTCGCCCGGCAGCGCGAGGGACGCGGGGCGCCGGGGCACTGCAGATCGCCAAAGGCAAATGCGCTTCCAGCAAGAAGGAGAGGAAAAAAAACTACAAGCACACGACCCAAAAACAACAGGAGGTCGGTCTCCCCCAAATTAAAAACCCCAGCCTCCCAAAACAAGAAAAAAAGATTTTTAAAATCACCTCAAACTTTAAGAGGCTGTAAAAGTCGTACTGGAAATGAATGTGGTTAGGATGAGGTTTTCTGCTGTAAACCGTTGTTGCAGTGTTCTTTTTAAAGAGATACGTTTCTTTTTTAAGAAATCCTTGTTTTTTTTGTATATGTCTGTGTGGAGCTTTTATTTACCGCCATCATCTGCACGCGCGAGCTGTCACCGACCGCGAGACAACCGAACAGGAAGAGTCCCGCCCCCCTCTGGCGCGCTGATTGGACAGAAGTGGATCCATCGACTGGTAGGCTCGGTTCTCCATTGGCGGCTGGGACATCCATCAACCGGAAAGCCCTTAAAAAGCCGATTCACAGATGGCCGTACGTGAGACTACTCGATTTCTTCCGTAAGAAGGAAGGAAGTTACGACGAATACGTAGGCATGCGGCTGGGAATCCTCGGCTTCTCTACGGGGATTTATATTCCCAAACACTTACGCAATGCGCTGACTTCTTTACTAGCGCTGGTGGGTTTATATCGAGACGTACGCACCTTGCGCAGCTCTCCTCAGTAAGTTCGGTTGGACGGAAAGGGTAGTAAGTAAGGTATTCACGCACAGACAAAGAGAATTTATAAAGGCATAAACGTTTCGTTTTTTTATTATTATTATTCCTTACAGAGTTGTTTTGATGCTCATCTTGCTACAAACCCCAAGGCCCGGGTGTGAAAATAAAGCCAGTGCCGAAGACGTTAATAAAAGATTAGGACCGAATTAAAATATATGTAAATTAAAATACCATTGCTTGGGCATAATAGAAGTGGTCAAAATAGCTGGTTTTCGCTTTTCAAAGACGCAGCCTTAATTTAACTATAATTTCCGACATTATTCTAACGGTGATTATATTGAAGGGAAGAAAACACTTTTTGGCGTCACTATGTCTCGCATTTCAACAAGTTGCGGCTCCTTGCTAGGAGCCGGAGCCGGGTACAACCTGGCCCGGTGGGTATTTCCTTCAACAGTTCCCACCCGGCTGCGCGTCGTTGCACTGATCGCTCGACCGAAACTGAAGGACCTGCTGCATTTTTAGGGGTGTCCTAAAGGATTTCGTTTTCAAATAGACATTCGTTTAGGGCACAGTCTAAATATCCTATTTGCATTTTAGATATCCTACGATACATTTTTATATATTTCAGTCATGACGTTGCGCCATAAGGAGTGATGATATTAAAACTTCCAATTTTGTCACGTCAGCTTCACCTGTGTCAGGGGACCTTATATTAAAAATAACCACTTTTCCACTCCGTTGTAAAACGACCGCATTTTTTCCATTTCTAAATAAACACCCAACTAAAAAGCCGGCGGGTCTTATAAGCTCAAAGGAACAAAACCCATACATTCCTTCCTCAGACACGCAATCCGTTGACAGACCGGCACCTTCAAAGATGCAGTTAAGCAACAGGCAATTTTTCCCACATCGTCACCTCCACCGTCCCCACGGCGGCACGCTGGGGAACACGGAGGCAGAACAACGTGCGGTTCAGCTCATCATTGGGAAATAGTTTTCCCTGGAATCCTGCAGAACTCCTGCAGGAGACTGTAACACGGATTCACTCCACAAAACCTGTAAAGAGGCTAATTCCCAGACTCCGAGACGTCCGGATCAGAGCCACACCTGCCAGGCCTAGCCAGTGCACGAAAACGGCACACAGATCGCCTCACTGCCTGTAACTGGGAGCTGCTACCCTGCGCTGCCCTGCCCTGCTGTGCACAGCGACATTTTCATTTCTCCCTGCAGCACTGCTTCTCGCTAAGACTCTCCAGGAGTCTCGCCTTGGTGATAACTGCAGAGTTCAAAGTCCTGTTGGTGATGTCGAGAGGAAAACGCTTCCTTGGGAGAAAAGCTTTACTTATGCAGCAGACACCATGTGGATCACAAGAAGCAGGAGGTATCTGCATGACTCCTGCGCCCATGAAAGCTGGCCTAGTCTCCATTCTCAAACACCCCCCACTCCCAGTTCCACAGAAGGAAGCACCGTTTATACCCTGACCACCTCTTCCGCACACCTGGCTGCTTCTGTTCAAACACAGCAGAACTCGCATGAGTAGTGAGGAAACACAGGGGGTCCTTACAGTTGTGACGTACCTTGAGAGCTCGTCTTTACTCATTTTTGTTTAGCACGTTGCGCTCCCTACAGCTGTATCTTGAGGAGGGGACGCAGTTTATCCACTGCAGAAGTGTGGCATCAGTCACCCGAGTGACACGCAGCAGATAGGGTGAATTACCGAGAAGAATTTGCTTCACCAGTAGGATTACAGAAAATGTTATGGAAGCTAGACTGTACATATTCCTAGTGGATTATAGTCATGACAGCAGGGTTAGCACCTGTCCTTTTGTAAACAGTGGCCCGAGGTCTTCTAATGGCCAAGTAGACAGGACTTCAATGTTTTAATGTCTGATCCAAAGGAAGTCACCTCCTACAGCACAGCATCCCTCGTTACCTTGTTACTATACAGAGGCACAGGTTTGGAAATTCTGGCCTCCTCAGGGCCACTGCCTCCCATCCCAGAACTGACCAGACCCAGCCCAGCGTACAGGGTGATTAGCACTGCTGTCACATTAGTATTAATGCAGAAGTACTGGGAACCAAAACACCTGAAACCTGAAAACTGACCAAGTTTTTACTTAACTTGAAGAAGGAGGATCACATTATAAGAATCATTTTCCTTGCAAAGGAAACACTTGAAAAGTTTTTGCGGCCGCCTGGAACAAGTTCTAGCAGAGCGCGCAAACACCTTTAACCTTCAGTATTTGTCAACAGCACACTGGGATGATCCCCTTGCTATGAGCTGGAACAGGAGGAATGTTTCTCCAGGCGCCAGGAGCTTTCCAGCAGGCTGCTGTGCCTCTCGCGCAGGAAGTCCAGTGTCCCACTCGGACCCGCGCACACACAAGCACAGCTGGCTCAGGCTCGTGGAGGGGTGGGAACCTGTTCTGGAACTCGGGGGCCTCCTCTCAGCGCATGCTGCTCCCGATTGCCACCTGCTGCTTGCGCACCTTGCCGAAGAGCTCCAGGTACTGCGCCATGGTGTCCGAGCAGTCGGAGGGGCTGTAGATGCCGTCGGGTTTGGCAGTGAAGACCATGGGCAGTTCGGGGGTGTGGGGTCCCAGGAATCCCTGCATGAACTCCTTCATCAGATTCCAGCAGTCGTTGGGCACCCCACATGGGCAGTACTCCACCTGCACACACGGGCACACGCAATGTTAGCAGCCTTTCAGCTCCTCACTCCTGCCCCCTTCCCACCTCTTCTTCTCCCACTGGGTGCTTTCCTGCTCCTCACCTCCACAGAGATCCCTCTGGCGCTGGAGCCCATGGTGATGGTGCCAACCTTGACCAGGAAGTCGCAGTACTGGAAGCGCGTGCCACGGCTCTCCACCTTGTTACCCTTGGCGTTCTGGAAGTGGCCCTTCAGCTTGATCATCAGCACGTCGAAGTTGGGGTCGGCCACCAGGCAGGGCCCGCCCTCGAAGAGAGCGAAGCAGCTCAAAGGCATCTCCGAGTTGTGCATTACGTACAGGAACTTGGTGGGCTGCCCTGGGGTGAGAGAGGGAGAATGTACAGGCCAGCAGGGCGTTCATCTTTGTACCATCTCAGCCTGGGTCTCTAACACAAACATTTTACTTCTGCATCAAGCCTCTGTGCGCTAGGGGTATTATCTATCTGCGTCTTTCCCCCTTTCCTTATTAGCTTTTTTAATACCCTCTGTCTCCAGCTCTCAGTGCTATTTTGTGTTGGGCAGCTCTCTCCACAACACTCTACCTCTCTCTTTATCCAGAGTAACCAGGCTCCCTCGCTCAGCGCTCTCACCTGTAGTGCCCATGGCCCCTGCATGGTAGGTCTCACAGTCCACGCAGAAACTGCCCTGTTTCACTGCTCCCAGCTGCTCCAGCTTCCTGTGCAGCATCTCCACTGTCTGCTGGACACTCTTCCCCTCCACCACCGGCACCTGGCACACACTGCCAGAGCACAGGGTTACTGGTAACACTCCACACACACACACACACACACACTGCCAGAGCACAGGGTTACTGCTAACACTCCACACACACACACACTGCCAGAGCACAGGGTTACTGCTAACACTCCACACACACACACTGCCAGAGCACAGGGTTACAGCTAACACTCCACACACACACACTGATTTCAACTAATAACCTTCCTAACTGAACAAATTATGAGTTTAACTGGTATTTTTAACACACTGCCGGACTGTGTCAAGTCAAGACTGGAGTTGAGTTCTTATAAAGCAGATAGTTTAAAAACAAAAAAGCAAAGCATCATATATCAATTAGATCGTTTAAATTATATATTTTTTAAATGCATAAAAGTTTTAAATAAATTGTTCTAGGAACCGAGCAAAACTATAGTGCTATTTTAAGAGTTGGTTCAAAAGTGTCATCTTGTGACACAACTGTGCATAAAGCTTTTTAAACATACTGCTAAATTGGAAAATGCAATCGGTTCTGGAATAACCTGCATTAGCCAGGCTGCAGTTACATAATTCAAAACAGCTCCTTTCTCCAAACCACCTTCTTCTCCTCCTGCAGCATGATCATACTGTAATTGTAACGATATACCGCCGGACCAGAGACTCCGCTAATATAGCACACCCTGTCCCTGCACGTAAACAAAGCACGCTGCCTCCTTTCAAACTGCAGACCATTTCGTTTCAAATGGCTTTTAAAGTCCGCAAACTCACAACTGTTGCTGTCGGCGCAGCCCCACCAGGGCCGCGGTTAACCAGTTTAAAAACGTCTGTTATCGTATTATTTAATATTTATGGTGAGGCTCTGGACCCGAGGAACCCAGCTGTGACTATGTTGTTGTACACGTAGGTATGCAACTCGCATTGCTCCAACACCATGTCCAGCCGTGTAAAACAATACGCTCCGGATCGCCATTGTCAATGAAATGACGTTTCTGCTGCAATAAAAGATTCAAATAACTAATCTTACCACGTTACGCCCATGTTCGCCTCTGACAGAACAAGACTCCTCTAACTTCACGTTACTTCAGACACGAGCTTCCTGTTATCAGGAAGAGGAAGTGACGCCACGATCGGAGGTTGACAATAACAAATTAGTACAGCTAATTTATATTCATATTATTCTTATCGTGAAATTAAATGATCATTTTCAAGACTTCCTATAAAGACGTTTTTAAAAGTTGTCTTCAATTTTATTTTTTGTGCTTCGAGTGTCGCCATGATTGTGCGGGGTGGAGGGGCGGTGACATCATTTCCGGTGAGTGGCAAAGGGTCACGCGTGCTTGCTGAGTGGTCTTTCTCCACATGTGCGGGCAGAGTTTTAAGTCTGTTTTACAGGTTTCGGCACACAAGACAAACAGAACTCTGACAGCAGAGCGAATCGGCGCCTACGGAGATGCCGAAAGTGAAGAAGACGAAAGGCGGAGGGAGAGCGGAGCACAGCCGAGTCGCGATGGTTCCTCTGGCCGAGCAGATCCTGCAGAGCGATGAGGTGAAGAGCAGCGGCCGGGTGAAGAGCCGTGGCCGCCGGCAGGAGGCTGAGGACGAGTACGTGGACGAGCGGCTGTCCCGGAAGATCCTGGAGCAGGCTCGGATACAGCAGGAGGAGCTGGAGGCGGAGTGCGGGCTCGGGAAGACTGCGGAGAGTAAAAAGCAGCCCACGACCGTGCTGGGTGAGTGTTTAGCGAGGGTGACAGAACGCGTGCCGCTTGTCACGGGCTGGTCCTGCGTCCGGCACGGGTGCGACCTATCTCGGCTGTGCGTGCCGCGTTGTTTGTAAGGAGAGTGACATGAGTGAGGCGTCCTGTTCGTGAACTGTTCGTACAAAAGAGGTGGAAATCAGATACCGCTTCTCTCTGCTGTGCTTCAGCTGCTTGGTCACACACGGCCTCCGGCGCGACCCCTAGCGAGAGGCCACAATCCCATCACCCACCTGGCCAGGTTTTCATGAAGCCAGCCGTAATGCTGGCACTTTGAGAGCAAGTAGCAAACATTGAATCCTCCTTTGGTGTCTAGTGTCCTGAGAGTTTTGGGCAGGGGGGTTGTCACCGTCTCAAACTGTATCGCTGTAGAGTGTTGCGATTTGATTCAGAACCAACAGTGAAAACTACTGGGAAGAGTTCTTAAAAACTGAGACCAGGAGGTACTTCTATACACAGAGGGTGGTGGAGGTCTGAAACAAGTGGCCCAGCCATGTTGTTGGAGTTCATTCCCTGGGCCATTTCTGGAAAGATCTGGGTGAAATGCTGGGATCAGCTAGCTCCCAACAGCCCTGATGGGGTTTTCTGACCTGTTCCTGTTGCCCTGCAGGCTCTGGCTCCAGGGACTCGGACTCGGAGGAGGAGGAATGGCCGGCGCTGGGGCAGGGGGGAGATGGAGAGGACGGGGAGGGGGCGGCAGGGGCAGAGGTGGAGGTGGAGGTGGACCCGGAGGATGAGAAGGCCATCCAGATGTTCATGAGCAAGAACCCGCCGCTCAGGTACTGACCCGGACCGACCTACCTCACAGAGCCGGGCTCTGGCAATGCAACAGCAAACCTGCTAGAATTCCAGCAGCGCAGCCCAGAGTTTACTCAGTGTTTCTCAACCACAATCCACAAATCGTGTGCAGTGCTCTCTTCCACACGTACGGAACTTTGCTGGAAAAGCTGCCTTGAATATCTGTTTACGTCTAGAAATCCTTGAGATGGGACCATCTTTTCTCTGGCAATGAAAAGACCCCACATCAGTTCCAGCAGCAGAGTCCCTGTGTGTCCAGTAATAGTCAATGTTCAGGAGCGGTCCAGGAGTCCAGACTGTTGAGGCACTCGGGAGTTCTGGGGTCTGTCTGCCAGGGTTTGATGTGGCCAACAGCAGACAAGTGACTGTCTCCTTAAGCCCTGCGTTGTTCCAGCCTGGAATGTCCTGCCCCCGTGTGCGGAGTGCGTGGTTGCTATCCTCCGGCCTCAGTGTGTCAGGCTGCGTTCACGACTGTGCCTCTTCCCCCAGGAGGACTCTGGCGGACATCATCATGGAGAAGATCACAGAGAAGCAGACGGAGGTGGAGACGGTGATGTCGGAGGTGTCGGGGCACCCCATGCCCCAGCTGGACCCCCGAGTCATTGAGGTGTACAAGGGGGTGAAGGAGGTGAGCGTCCTGTGCTGGGCCACGGTGTGGGCGGGGACACCCTCTCTCTCAGTCTGTGTGCTGCCATTCCCTGTCTCTCCCTCACTGTCCTTTCTGACGCACTCTCCCAGGTTCTGTCCAAGTACCGCAGCGGAAAGCTGCCCAAGGCCTTCAAGATCGTGCCTGCTCTGTCCAACTGGGAGCAGGTGCTGTACATCACAGAGCCGGAGACCTGGACGGCGGCAGCGATGTACCAGGCCACACGGTGAGATCAACACTCCCCTCACAGCTCCCGAAACACTTGGCCGGCAGATCGCACTGCTGTTCTTTTGGTTTGTAGCGCTGACATTGTGCAAACGGACAGAGGAGAGGCTTTCCTGTCGTCTCTGTAAAGTGGTTCTCTTTTTTAACCAAGAAAACATTCTCTCATAAACCACTTCAGCCCCAAACTCTTTCCGTGTTCGTAGGGCTATGCGTCCAAGAACATGAGAGCACCCATTGCGCAGGATTCTGATCCACTTATAGTTTTACAAACTGCAGGCTTTTATTCAACTGGTAGCGGCTTTTGAATTTGTGATGGGAATTCATATGTGCCTCAATATGCACAGAAGAGCGTGTAAAGCTAATTGCTACTGTTATGCTTAATCGGTACAATGTATACAGTACAACCTGGTTAAACTCAGCCAGGTCAAGCGACAGCTGTCGGATGTGTCCTGTGTGAATTATTGTCCGTGTGCAGGTGTCCCTTTTCTACGCCTCATTTTTCTTTCTCCCTGTTGCCACCTGCAGGATCTTCTCCTCCAATCTGAAGGAGAGGATGGCTCAACGCTTCTATAACCTTGTCCTGCTGCCGCGGATTCGAGATGACATCGCGGAGTATAAACGGCTCAACTTCCACCTGTACAGCGCGCTGAAGAAGGCGCTTTTCAAGCCTGGGGCCTGGTTCAAGGGTGAGAGTCTAAGGCTTTATAATGGCCGTCCCTGGCAGTGCAGGAGATGAGCCACATCGCTAACGTCTCTCCCCCCTCTTTCTCGCTCAGGAATCCTGATCCCCCTGTGCGAGTCGGGGACCTGCACGCTGAGAGAGGCCATCATCGTCGGCAGCATCATCACCAAGTGCTCCATCCCTGTCCTGCACTCCAGGTACACAAGCAGGAGGGAGGGCCGGCAATATTATTTCGTTATTTGGCAGGCACTTTTATCTAGCGCAACCTCCAGAAGTTACTATTGCAGCACCTTTTTTTTTCCCCCATGTACACATGTTGGTGTCCATTTCTGGAGGTGTGTTGTTTTACTCTGGGGTAAACAGCAGAGGCCCCACCTGGGATTTAAACCCACAGCCCTTTGGGCAGGGGCTCAGAGGTCCCCTTCATGCTGCAGAGGTTTGGGCAAGTTCAGCACACTGAATGGTCCCTGTCTTTCCCCTCCTCCAGCGCGGCCATGCTGAAGCTGGCGGAGATGGAGTACACCGGCGCCAACAGCATCTTCCTGCGCCTGCTCCTGGACAAGAAGTACGCGCTGCCCTTCCGCGTGCTGGACGCGCTGGTCTTCCACTTCCTGCGCTTCCGCAGCGACCGCCGCGCGCTGCCTGTCCTGTGGCACCAGAGCCTGCTGACGCTGGCGCAGCGCTACAAGGAGGACCTGTCGTCCGAGCAGAAGGGGGCGCTCCTGGAGCTGCTCAGGGTGCACTGCCACCCCCAGATCTCCGCCGAGGTGCGCCGGGAGCTGCAGCACTCGAAGTCCCGCGACGAGGAGACCGCCGCCCCCGCCATGGCCCTGGACTAGACGCCCTCCGGCCCCGGCCCCCCGCCTTCCTGCCTCATCGTGTTCTAGAGAAATTGCGTCGCTTCCCTGTTCCAGGGCAAACGGCAGAACGTCGTGCTTCCTCTTGATTTCAACAAAACGCAATGGCGCCTTTCTTCTCTTCTTTCCTGGAGCAGAAGCAAATGTTTCCCTGTGGGGGGAATGGGCCGGCTCAGTCCTGCCCTGGGCTCAGCTCGACTGTGCGACTCGGGATGCGGATTTCGCATGGGATTGGCGGGGTCTGGGGAATGTGAAGGGGACGAGGCTTCTGACTGGGAGAGGAGGTCCCGTCTTCACAGCTGGAGGCACCCTTCTCTGATAAAGACACCGTCACGAAGGGAGTCACCCCGCCTGCCAGCAAGCAAGCGTTCAAGTAGTTGTCAGAGAGTGCTGTGGCATGTTGTGCAAGCTCAGTGCGTGCTGCTCTTACTGAGGAAAAAAGCTGTGAGTTGTGTAGAGCCAGTTAGCAGAGCTGGGAGGGCAAGGGGTGTTTAGGGCCCGAGGCTGCTGCTGTGTGGAGCTGTCAGCTTTCTAAAACTGGCCATAGACATTCCCAAAAAGCCGTCTAGACTCGCGAAGAAGCCCAAGTGGAAAACTGAAATTGAAAAGACAGCAACTGCAGAACCACACTGTTTGTTTACTGAACTTCCTCACCCACCAGAGCGGGCATACTCTGACTCTGACTCACAGGCTGCTGGGTGAGTTTCTGCCAATCAGAACACACAATGAGGAGATTTAATGTAAACTTGCAGCATTAAAAGTACTTGGTTGGTATTTGTGTGCATTGTTTTGAGTTCACGGATGTAATCCAACCTGACTCAGGAACTGAACTCAAAAGGTTGAGGATCTTCATGAGGGGTTTTCACTGTGTATAGCACTTACTGAACAACTGGGATAACATTTTAAAAGTATTGATCACTGCATACTTAATTTATATACCGAGTAATTTACTGTGTCTCTGCTGCTTTAGTGGCTTCTTTCTCATATTAGGGTTGAACAGATCCAGGTTCACTAAAATAGACTTCATTTCTGATCAGCCATCACATGCTCCCAGCTTAATCAAAATGATCGATTTCTATAATTTTGTGTTTTACTCAGCTATGTATTTTCAAGTTGAGATCCAAGCCTGGTGTAGGCCCTTTTCCTATACTAAGTTCATAATTTGTATTTGGGACTTTGGTGCTTGTAATTTGGGTTTGTAGAACTATTTTAAAAAACATCTGTGGAGTATAACATAACTTTTATAGATAGAACCTTCCAGTGACCATAACAGAAACTGTTCTCAGTGTGTTTCTGCAATAGAGAAGAGCTATTTGTGCACAATGACACATTCCAGCTGCTCCCAAGACCAGAAATGAGACATCACCACCACTGAACAGCCACAAAATACAATTCAATATTTTAATTTTCATTGTTTAAAAATCTTTTAACAGCAGCAGTCTTGTGTTTTATTTGAAAAGGTGACATTTTAAACTCTCCAAACAGGAGCAGTTAGTGATACTGTTGGCTTATTGACAAACACTCACACCTGCAGATGCAGTCTTTGACACAGCAGTTATGCTTCTGGGACAAACAGGCTTAGAAAAAATAATTCTCAAAATTCTCCAACAAAACTGTTGAACAGATGGGAGGAAAGGGATCCATATCCATTCTTTCTCCATCAGAACAGGGCTACTCGGCTTGCATCCTCTCTAGTAACATGCAGTGCAGAATTCTGCTACATTTGTTTTACTGAAAATTAGCAGGATGAATACAACGTGGTGCTGTATCCAGTTTGGCTGCTGCAGTGAAATGTACTAGAAGGGCGACAGGTTAGGCTCTCCAGCCCACTGGAACAAACAGGGTGCTTTCAGCCATAATTGAAACAAAACTGCACAAAACAGATGTGCAACAAGGAACAAACAGTTGATCGAATGCATTTTTTTGGGAATGTTTTAAATACATTTCAATAAAAAACAGTATGATGAGACTGAACAGCTGGAACCCAAAATGGAAGGCTGAGAGCTGAGCTGAGCTGGTTGTCCGTGCTTACGGCAGAGTCTCGGCACGGAGCTCAGCTTGGGGTACACCCGTACCAGGGCTCAGCTTGGGGTACGTCCATGCCGGGATGGGTCTCCCTTCTCCTCAGTGACCGTCCACTCCTCCCCCAGCTGATCTCTTCGGTGGGCTGTGGGGCGACAGGAGGGAGCCGGACGCAGTCAGGTGGACATCGTGGATATCCGTGGGGGTGCCAACGGGACTAGGCTCTGGAGTCCTGGGTTGGCAGGATGATTTAGGCAGGTGGCGCTGCAACATATCCTCCATCTGCTCCAAGCAGGATCGCAGACAGTCCTGCCAGGACAGAGAGGGAGGAGGGGGAGCGACAGAGGAGGGGAACAGGAATAGGAGATTAACGCAGAAGCACCACTGCAGAACAGTAGCGTAAAGAAGAACTGTACTCTTGTACAGGATTGCCCTTCGTTAACAGATCTGGAGGACGAGCACTCTGTACTTCGTGCAAGAGCAAAGGGAAGCCACTTCACAGACAGCCAGACGGAAACACAACACAACAGGACACACACTCACCACATCGGAGGCAGTGATTTTGGCAAGCTGCTCCATGAGGGAACTGCCGGAGAGGGCAGGATCTGGCACCAGCAGGCCGCGGATGGCAGCTCCCACGCTGGCCGTTGCGATCATGGAGGGCGGGTACATGGAGAACTTCATATCTGAAACCAGAACTGGCAGACTGAGTGCCCCGTACCTCAGACCACACCAAAACACAGGTCAGCTCATAAAACCAATCCCAACTGTTCATGTATTTCCACATTAAAAGGACTGAGAAATACTAAGTAGTTTTATATACCCAACCCACTTGGAATCAGTCATGCCTTTACTTTGCAACGCTTGCAACGTAGAGGAACCCTGTACCCACTTGGGGGAGCGAGGACTCTGCCCGCACTGCTGTCAGGCTCTGCCTCACCAACGCCACCTTGGGCCTGCAGCTCCAGGGAACGTGCAGGGGTCACTTTCACCTGGAGTTCAGCTACAGATCACTGTCAGTCCCAGCCCCCGTGCCTGGCGCCGCCGGTGTGCGCGCGCGGCCGCCCGTACCTAAGGCACACAGCGCCATGAAGAGCCGAGTGTGCTTGCGCACCAGGTCCCGGCCGCCGCAGGGCAGGCTTTGCAGGCGCTCCAGGATCAGCTCCAGGAAGTCGGAGGGCAGCACCACCGCCAGCTCCCAGCGCAGCCTCGACGCCACCACTAGCTCCCAGTCCTGCAACACAGCACCCTGTCACCACAGCACCGAACCCCTCGTGCCCTCCCACCCCACACAGCCCGTGATACAGCCCCCAGTATATGCCTGCCCCCAAGAAGTTCAATCTCCTATTTAATCCAGTTCCAGTCCTTAGTGCAGTCCACTACAGGCCACCAAGGAGCTGCAATACACCCCAAGCATGGTACAGAAAAGTATGTGAATGTAAACTGCAAACCTGTTATTGCAAAGACACACAATGCACCTGTCTTTCCTTGGCAGCTTAACCAAAGACACGGGAGCTAAAAAGACTAACAAGCTGGACACAGATGAAAGCAGGCCCAAATTAAGTTATAGACGATAAATACACAGACATTAATTGGGCATGTGGTTAAATAAACTAAATGATCTCAGTTAAGAGAAAAATATGTTCTAAGGCAGGGCATTCTGTATAGCTGAAATAAGCCAAATGCTCAGCCCAGGTCAATATTGGTAGGCGTCTATTGTCTCTTCAGACATCTCTGAGTGATGCCACAGTTCTCCAGAGGCATTGAACGAGCCCAACTTTAAAGGTCATAGAGAGGTTTTATCACAGTAACCAACATGACAGGATAACTTGAGTTATCAGAAAGTCTGTGGTGCCACACTCTGACCAGCCAGAAATGAAGACTATAAAGCTAAAAGTAGGACAGGAACAACGGAAGGAAAGGAACAGGTTTGGTGAATCTTTAATACAACAAATTCAGCCCCACATTCCCACAGATCAGGTTGATCAGGTGCGTGACCCCCAGCGGGGATACCTCACCTGCACAGCTTCATCTCCCCCTGCTCTGTCTGATTCACTACAAACATGACAGCTTCCTGAGAGAGTGACATTGACTGCAGTGTGCTGGCCAATACTGGAATGGTAGTGGTGGTGGTGGGCCAGTAGGTGCAGCTCTTATTTTCACACCAGAATTTTCAAACCAACCAGTATGGTGATCAGGGACCCTGTCGAGTAGAGGTATCAACCCCACTGTAGCAGTTCCTCTCTCCTCCCCTGATCTGCTGTGCATCACCCAGGTGGGGCTGCTGGAACTGGGTCTCCTCTTACAAATCATGTGCTTTGGATTTCTTTTAGATGAAACACTATACTGACATAAGCAATTAGAGTATTCGAGACAGCAAGTTTTGGAATGGGATAATTACTGGTAATTGCCCCAGCCCGGTGTAGTTACCAGCAGCTCGGAGGCGGTGATGGAGTTGTCAGTGTAGATGCAGAGTTTCCTGGCACTCAGAGGGACGGTCTCGCGCAGCTTGGAGGCCAGGAACATGCAGACGGAGCCCAGCAGCTGCAGGTGGGATCTCTGCACAGGGACTCCGGACAGGTAGCGGTCGAGGTAGTGCATAGCCAGAGGGAAGACCTCCTCCTCACACTTCTGCTCCTCACACACCTGGGCCGTGACAGCAGAGGCAGATATTTCACACACCATACTGCCCACACAGGACACGGCCACACTGCCCACACAGGACACGGCCACGTTCCACACCACACTGCCCACACAGGACACGGCCAC